AATGATTTCACTGACTCCCTCTCATAATATTCCATGTTCTAGCCCAGGGGTGGGGAACCTGCAGCCTCTCAGGTGCAGCCTTTTGACAGAGTCCAAGTTTTACAGAACAAATCCTTCTATTAAGGGGATTTGTTCTGTGAAGTTTAGATTCAAAGGGCCACCTCTGAGGACCTAGAGGGCTACATGTGGTCTTGAGGCCACAGGTTCCCCACCCCTGTTCTAGCCTATTTGCTGTTCCTTGTACATGACATTGCATTTCCCACCTTTGCACATGCTATCCTATACCCCACTCCCACCCCATTCCCAGAAATTACTTTGTATTTACTTTCTACATATTTTACATTTACTTATCTGCATATTTATTACATAATTCCATAGAATGTAATCTCCTTCATGGCAGGCCCTGTTTTCTTTTTCTGTCTCAACTCTAGGATTAGATTATAAACTTCTTGAGGACAAGAATTATCTTTTACACCTTTGTATCCATCACAATACCTTGCATACAGTATATGCTCCATCAGTCTTTCTTACTGAATGAAATCCTTACTTCCTCCAATGTTAGGTCAAACTAGCATTTTCAGACATGGCCTCAAGCGAAGCAGAAATCACATTCAGGCCTCAGGGCTGCAGGCCTTCTAGCTTGTATGGCTACTTATTACCCTTTAGCCTCAGGGCTGCCTACAGTTCAATGCAATAATAGAGACTTAGTAAGTGGTTGTTGATGATTTTCTAGTTCATAATAAAAAATTGAAAATAAAAAAAATATTGAATTGAGTGGGTGTTGAATTGAATCAATTCTGTTCTTCAAATTTATCATCCTCTTTAATCACATTCAGAGATTTTAAAAAAGGCGAATTGCTCTCTCCTGCACAGAGAGCAACCTGGTTTCATTAAACAAGGTCTGGATATACTAAAAAAGGTAGATTCCAAATCCAAAATTCTGACTTCTGGGGAGAATCTCCCAGATCTGAAAAATGAGTGTGTTTGGCACTGATCTAAGCCACATGGGAGCCACAAAAAATGGCAGTCTGCTCTCTCAAGTAGCTTACGGCTTAGGTGGAGAAACCAGAGTTAGACCTGTGATATGATAGAGAGTACTCTCTAGGCAAAGTAGAAGATGAGTGCATAATTCAGAAAGGAGAAAGATCTGCAGGAGCCAGTTGTCAGGAAAGGATTCAGGGGACCTGAATTTAACTCATTGGAAGAAAGTGTGGCAAAATGGCTGTTTCTATTTCATTCCAGAGTGTAATTTTCCTCCTGGTGAGAAGCTGTAACCATCTCATCCAGAACAGAGCCTCTAAAGGCTTAAGAATGAGAATAATTTAAGGTCTATTAACAATGATTGATCAGCTAATTAGTTATTTATGAGCAGTAATAACTTATTTTGAAGGTCCCAGCACTGTGCATCAATAGCAACTTACTACAGCAATATATTCACATCACAATCTGTGGAATCTTTCTCTACATTTCCTTTGCTCCCCATGCCTATCTCTTTTATTCCATCTCTTTATTCCTTTTTTCTTTCTTCTCCTTTTCTTTCTCTTTCTCTTCCCTTCTGTCCCTTATCCTTTCATTCCTAGAATCTTCTCTGCCTCTGTCTCTTTCATCTGCTCATGCAAAGTATAGAATTAAACTATATTTTTGGCATTTTTTATCTATGTTCCCTGTTAATCTGGAAAAAAAAATAAGAAGGTCCTATTCATTAACATTTTGCATTTCACTAAAAATACTACCCAAAGTCCAATTAATTGCTTCCTATCTTTTCCTTCTAGGTCAGTGGCCCTTCATATAAAAAAGGATCCCTGTCCCTTTTTTTTTTTAAACTGTATGGTAATGGAATAATTTATTTCCTGCAGAGTTACTTGAGCTTAAATACTTTTGAATCACCCATACATGGATTCAGTATTTCATGTCAATGAGCTCTTCCTATTACACCAAAAAGTCATAATACATGGTGGGTGACTGGCTTAATAGGATGTCCTTATCCCAATGCTCCATGAAATTTAACCTGCTAAAAAGCCAAACTACTAACAGCAGACGATGATGTTAAATGCCTGTTAAATACTGTACCAATAAGCATTGTGACCAAATTTGCTGCCCCGTATTTTTCTACTTCATGGATCCAGTGAGGAACAGATTCAAATGTGGATCGCCTTGTCAGGTCATAGGCAATGATGGCAGCATTCGCACTTCTATAGTAGCTCTGGGCTATTGTCCGGAATCGCTCCTGACCAGCAGTGTCCCATACCTGCATCTGTCCAGGTAAGGAAAAGAGAGGAGCTAAGCCAACCCAGCATTACTACAGAACAAAGACAGTTTTTGCAAATCCTCCTACAGCCCAAAAGCTCCAAATGAAATCTCCAAGACCTGGTTCACTTAAAAAAATTTTTTTGGCATTTTTTTTTTTTGCAATCATATCCTACTATATCCACCACTGTCCCCACCTCTTGCCCACACCCTAGAGAGCCATGTCTTATAACAAAGAATAAAAAAGCAGTGCAGGGAAACTCACTTTTTAAAGGTCTGACATTATATGAAGCATCTCGCATGTATAATCCCTCACTTCTACAAAGAATGGGGGGAAGGTTCTACTGTGTACATGAAAATGTTCTTTTTTTTTCTTTTCTTGTTTTGTATTAAGTTTAAAATGAATAAAAAATTTTAAGGGCAGCTAGGTGGTAGAGTGGTTAGAGCACTGACCTTGGAGTCAGGAGGACCTGAGTTCAAATCTGGTCTCAGACCTGACACTTGATACTTACTAGCTGTGTGACCCAGGGCAAGTCACTTAACCCCAATTGCCTCATATAAAAATTAAAAAAAAAAAAGAATGGGGGAAGATATCTTCTCATAGCTCTTCTTTGGGGCTATGGAAAACTTAATAAAAATGATATTGGATTCCAGTGTGACAAAAGAATTTGGACACTCACTTAAAATTTATTTGTAATGGGATTTGTTAATGGACCACCCATCTAACTTCTCCTATTTCATTATACCACAAGCTACTGGAAGGATCATGGGACAGTGGGAGAACTGATGAACTTGGGCTCATGGAACCCGAGTACAAATCCTACCACTAATGTAGTAACTCTATGACCTGGTTAGTTATTTAACACCTTTAGGCCTCAGTTTTCTTATCTGTAAAAATGAAAGGATTTCAGTAGACAACCTCTGAGGTTCTACATCAATGATCCTTTGAGATTATCAGACTGCAAATTGTCTGAGGGTAGGAAGTATCATCACCATCACCATCTTACAACAACAGTCTAATAGAGTAGTGCTTTATACATGTTGTCATTTGAATGTTACAAGGAACCTGAGAAGGTGGCATTATTACTCCCGTCTTATAGTTGAGGAAACGGACTCAGAGTGATTTGTCTATGTCACATGGCTGGTAAGTGTCACATATGGGAAGTGAACCAGTCTTCATGATTCCAAGTCCAGCATTTTATCAACTACACCAGACTCTCTCTTCATGTCTTCCACATCTTTGTAGCCTTCACAGCGCTCAGCAGAGTGCCTTACCTGTTGCAAGCCCTCCATAAATGTTTGTAGAATAAACAGATGAATGAATGAATAAGCTTTAAGAGTGTAGGGATTATGTAGGTGAGGTACAGACAGTGCAAAAATGTGAGTATACTTTAAAAAACTACCACTCATATTAAATTATTATTAATTTTTAAAAAAAACTATTGACTTTCCAGGATGATGTCAGAACCTGGAAAGACCTTACATGAACTGATTCAAAGTGAAGCAAGCAGAACCAGGAGAATGGTGTACACAATAACAGCAATATTGTACGATGAACTGTGAACAACTTAGTTATTCTCAGCAATACAATGATTCAAAGGACTAATGATGAAACATGCTATCTGCCTCCAGAGAAAGGACTGATCTTATTTGAATATAGACTAAAGCATACTATTTTTCTTTCTTTTGTTCTTTTTAAAAATTTTTTGTTTGAGTCTTCTCATATTAGATGACTAATATGGAAATGTTTTACATGATTGCACATATATAAACTGTATCAGATTGCTTAACATCTCAGAGACGGGGGGAGAGGAGGGAGGGAAGTAGGCGATAGAATTTAGAGCTCCAAACTTTTTTTTTTAATGTTAAATTGTTTTAACATGTAATTGGGAAAAAGATAAAATATTATTTTAAAAAAATTAATGGTCCTGGAAAAAAATACTTTCTACCATGATAAAAAATGCTCTACCCACTAATAACCTGTTCTATGGTCAATCACACCAGATTATCTTGCTATCCAAGCATGAAAATCATACAGCAAATTTAACCTACACTTGTCTAGGAAATCAGACTTTATGGTTTGAAAGGACTGTTGTATTGCTTAATCAAAACAACAATTGACTGTTCTACAACAATTTTGGGGCAGCTAGGTGGCACAGTGGATACGGCACCGGCCCTGAAGTCAGGAGGACCTGAGTTCAAATCCGACCTCAGATCAAACGCTTGACACTTACTAGCTGTGTGACCCTGGGCAAGTCACTTAACCCCAATTGCCTAAAAATAAAAAGTTTTTAAAAAAACAAAAAACAGCAAGTTTGACCAAGATTTAAGCTTGAGCAATTGAATGAGAAGCTTTGTGAAACAGTGAAAGGAATGGAGCCTGAGAAGGTGAGAGACCTGGAGTTCTAGCCTGACATCTGTTCCTGTCAGTTATGTTGCTTCTCCTTTCTGGGCCTCAGTTTGCTTTTCTTTGTATCCCCAGTTCTTAGTGCTGACATATTGTAATTAATTGATAAGTGTTCTTTATGTTGAGAAGGCTTCACCAGATTGCCACGTAAAAAAAATATATTTTTTTAAAACGTTAAGAATCTTCAATCCAAGCTACGCACACTTAGATCCTAAGGACAAGTTTTCAATTCTCCAGTAAACTAGAAAAGGAGGTAATGACCCTATGAAAAGAGAGAAGTCATTGGCAAAAGAAAAGGTACATTTAGGTGATAACAAGGGGTGAAGATTGGGCTCCTACAAGATCTGGTAAATGTAGATCACTTGAATACACTTAAATGATTACCAATGCTAAAGACTAATTGACCTTTCTGAGGCAGCCAGGTGGTACAGTGGGTAGAGTGCCCTGTCTGGAGTCAGGAAGATTCATTTTCCTGAGTTCAAATCCAGCTTCAGACACTTCCTAGCTGCATGACCCTGGGCAAAAATCACTTAACCCTGTTTGCCTCAATTTTTCTCATCTGTAAAAGGAGCTGGAAAAGGAAATGACAAACTACTCCAGTATCTTTATCAAGAAAACCCCAAAAGGGGTCATGAAGAGTCCGAAGATGACTGAAACAACTCAACAATAACATTTCACTATTCTAGAGCGTTAAAGTGATTTACATACATAGTTTAGCCACAGAGTGGAAGGACAGGAATTCTTCCTAACCAAGAGAAGAAGGAATAAAAGCTCAGGGAGATTGAATGATTCTTCATATAACTTTGAGGGTGAGAAGGGGGAAAGAATTAAAATAATACAGAGAATTAAAGCTGCAAATGAATGGGGATCTCCTTCATTCCCCTTAACTGTTTAGAACCACCTAGAACATAAAATACCTGACATTATACCTGCCAAAACAGACACAAGAACTACAGGAACATAAATATAAAACATTTTTATGCAAATAAGGTAAGATCTAAATAATTGAAGTAATATTTATTGTTTGAGGGTAAAGTCAATAATAATAATAATAGTAATAGTAATAATAATAACAATAATAATAATAATGAGAATTTTACCTAACTAATCTATTTATTCATTGCCATCCCAATTAAATTACTAAAAAACTATCTTACTAAGTTAGAAAAAATAATAGCAATGATAATTTGGAAGAACAAAAGGTCAGGGAATTTTATTTTTTTCCAATTACATGTAAAGATAGTTTTCAATATTCATTTTTTATAAGATTTTGAGTTCCAGATTTTTTTCTCTCTCCTTCCCTCCAATCCCCCCACCCCAAGATGGCAAGCAATCTGATACAGGTTATACATGTGCAATCATGTAAACATATTTCCACATAAGTTGTGAAAAGAAGAAACAGGAAAAAAGGAAAAAGCCACACAAAAAAACAAAAACAAAAACACAAACAAAAAGAAAGCAAAAATAGTATGCTTTGATCTGCATTCAGTCTCCATAGTTCTTTTTCTGGCTGTGGATTTCCATCATGAGTCTTTTGGAGTTGTCTTAGATCGTCGTATTGCTGAGAAGAGGTAAATTAACGATAGTTGATTATCTCACAATGTTCTCCTGGTTCTTCTCACTTTACTCAGCATTGAGTCAAGAACTTTCAATGGCTCCCGAGTGTCAAAGGAATGAAATTCAAACTCCTCAGTCTAGCACTCAATCCAGCATCTATCCACCTTTCCATTTTTATATTAATCTTAGTACATTGCCCGATACAAAGTAAACATTTAAGAAATATTCTATCAATCAATCAATCAATCTACTATCTGTCTAATCTCATATTATTCCCCTCTACATTCCTATCAGCCAATCAAACTGGGCAACTCTGCGCTCACACAGTCACTGCTATTCTACATCTGTTGAATTCCCACCCACCCTTAAAAGTCCAATTCAAATGCCACTGCCTCTATGAAGCTTTTACTGATCACACTCACCAGAATCAACCTTCCCCTTCAGATGTTGGAGAACACATTCTTCTGTAGTTGTTTAATGTACTTTTCAGAAATCTCATTATGTATTTTTATTTTATTTTTTTTAATTTTTAGGCAATTGGGGTTAAGTGACTTGGCCAGGGTCACACAGCTAGTAAGTGTCAAGTATTTGGTCTGAAGCCACATTTGAACTCAGGTCCTCCTGACTTCAGGGCCAGTGCTCTATCCACTGTGCCACCTAGCTGCCCTTCATTATGTATTTTTAAAAATTGTATTTGTATCCCTAGTACTTAGCACAGTGTCTGCCTGGCACATAGCAAGTACTTAATGAATGCCTACTGACTTGACCAGACTTGTAATTTTATTTTTATAGGGAGTTGCCAGTAAGGAACTCTCTACCAGTACAGATCAGTACCTTCTCTGCAATTTATAGTCTTAGAGAATTGCCTGGGGAGCTGAGACTAAGTTAAGTGACTTGTCTAGGGTCACATAGACCATATGTATCAGATTAGGACCTGAACCCAGATCTTTCTGGGTTTGATGCCAATACTCTATCCATAATGCCTTCTAAGGTCATACAGTCAGTAAGCATTAGACACAGAATTTTACTGAGGTCTCTTGGTA